AGTACTAACCGGAGCAGGATCGAGGCAACAGTTCAGTCGTTTGGAAACCGCAATCAAGACGCTACCACCGCGTGATTTGACACTGTTCATCCGGTTACGGTCATTACGAAAAACTGAGAACCTACTGCCTAACTAATTGTGCTGAGTGAATTCGATCATCTAGACACACTTGGCAATCCTTCACATTTTCATCTTGAAAATCTATTCCATTGGACATGTGCTTGAGCTGCTTCAAACTTGTCTCGGTCAGGTGGCCCATCCTTGTGTGTCACAGCTAAATTCCACTTGCCAGAAACGTCGTCTCCGGCTGGTTGACTTCCTTGCCAGAAACGACCAGTTCACCGTCCGCATTCAACACCTCACATTTGTCGAGCAGAAAAGATCATAGTGTGGCCTCTTTTGCAGGTCATACTCACCGATAGAAGATTAGGCCGCATCAACGTAGTTCTGATTCGGTCTGGCCCGATGATACATCGCTCCCGAATCAAAATACCACGCTTCAGCTTGAACATCGCCATTTACAAAAATGCTGCACAGCCCGTTCGACTTCGATTTTACCATGCTTGCAAACTTATCTGGACACTTGGCTGCAAAATGACCTGGCCTATTCTTGGACTTCTTCTTGATCTGCGACTTGAATTTGTTAGAATTCGCACCCTGCGTGTACAATGCTCCATCGTCACTGCCGCTTGTAGGCCCCCTTTCGAGCCTCACATCTTGCAGGATCTTTGCCTTCACCGCATCCGACATAAGATTCGCTCCTGAGGCCTCCATAGCCCCATAATCATCGGCTCGTAGTGATCTGGTAACCCGATCAGCAGCAACGCTACCAATCACGAGTCATTAACCTTGAAGCCAATCGAAGCGAGCGTTATGACTGGTACTCATCAGCTCGTTGACGTATTCTTCCACACTCGAACCATTGATCAGACGAATAGAGGTCAGCTTCCGTAGCAATCCAATTGCTCACATCTTGATATCATTTGCAACAACTACACCTTCCGCAAGCTCAACGGCACTCCAACTTCCTTAACGGATCAAAATGCTGCTTCAGTTCGACTTCCGTATCCGCCTGCATCAGCTAGCATCTTACTTACTTATCCTGGTCCGACATCCCTCAGGATTGCACCTGCATCACAATGTTACGCTAATTCACTCGGTCCGTGACTGCTTGTCTCCAATTTTGTTGACCGTCCCACACTTCCAAGATCGTGCTCCACTTGGTCCAACCACCTTGGTTGCTGTGCTCCTCTTCATCTTGTACCGGCCGGATTCGAGGCAAACACCATTTTTGCGGGATTGTTGTCCGGCATTCTTAAAACGTGTCCCGCCCATCGTACCCGTCCAGCTTTCGCAACTTTCTGGATACAGGGTTCGCCATAGAGTTGCGCCAGCTCGTGGTTCATCCTTCGCTTCCATACACCGTTCTCACATACCCCACCAAAGATGGTCCTAAGCACTCGTCGTTCGAAAACACCCAGTGCTTGCAGGTTCTCCTCGAGCATCGTCCACGTCTCGTGTCCGTAGAGAACTACCGGTCTTATCAGCGTCTTGTACATGGTACATTTAGTACGGAGGTGAAGTTTAGCCGACCTCAGGGTCTTGTGGATTCCGTAGTAAGCACGACTTCCGGCAATAATACGCCGACGAATTTCTCTGCTTCTGCCTTCCTCCGCTAACAGATACTTTGTCTTCGCCGTATTCACCTTTAATCCAACCTTCTCTGCTTCACGTTTCAGCCTGGTGTACTGCTCCGCCACGGCCTGAAACGTTCTTCCGACAATGTCCACGTCGTCAGCGAAACAGATGAACTGGCTGGACTTATTGAAGATCGTGCCCCGCACGTTTCATAACACCTTCTAGCGCAATGGTGAACAGGAGGCAGGAAAGACCATCGCCTTGTCGAAGTCCTTTGCGAGTTTCAAACGAGTCCGATAACGCATCCGATATCTTCACGCAGCACTGTACACCATCCATCGTAGCCCTGATCAGTCTGGTCAGCTTCCCGGGAAAACCCGGTCTCGCCCATAATCTTCCATAGCTCTTCACGGTCAATAGTATCATAGGCGGCGTTGAAATCGATGAAGAGGTGGTGCGTAGGGACTTGATATTCACGACACTTTTGGAGGATCTGCCGCAACCGGCTTGGTCCTCCGCCTCTGCGCCGTTCAGATGTTCATCGTAGTGCTGCTTCCACCATTCAATCACCTCACGTTCGTCCGTTATCCCGACACATTGGCGGGATGCGTTGAGTTTCTTGTAGAACTTGCGTGTTTCTTGAGAACGATACAGCTGCTCCATTTCTTCGCACTCCAGCTCTTCCAGGCGGCGCTTCTTATCCCGGAAAAGATGGGTTTGCTGTCTTCGTTTCTGTTTATATCGCTCCACATTATGACGGGTTCCTTGCTGCAGCATCGTCGCCCGCGCTGCGTTCTTCTCGTCCAAAACCGTCTGACACTCTTCGTCGAACCAATCGTTCCGTCGATTCCGCTCCACGAACCCAACGGCGCCTTCAGCAGCGCTGTTAATGGCTGCCCTCACGTTGCTCCAGCAGTCTTCAAGAGGGGCTTCGGTGAGCTCTGCCTCATCCGACAACGCTGCGTCGAGGCATTGCACGTACTGAGTTGCGACTTCGGGCAGCTTCAGTCGCTCCAGATTGTACCGTGGCGGGTGTCGGTACCGAATGTTGTTGGCAACGGAAAGTTTTTGGCGCACCTTGACCATTAGAAGGTAGTGGTCCGAAACCATATTTGCGCTGCGATAGGTCCTGACGTCGATGATGTCCGAGAAGTGCCTTTCGTCGATCAAAACGTGGTCGATTTGCGATTCTGTCTGCTGCGGTGATCTCCAGGTGTACCGATATGGGAGGCTATGCTGGAAGTTGGTACTACGTATGGCCATGTTCTTAGAGGCGGCGAAATCGATGAGTCTAGCTCATGTGTATTGCCGCAGCTCTGGTGGATGGTATAACCATCCCTATAAGTATGTACCGACGATCCATTCCAGCAAATCTCCTGCAGCGCTACGATGTTGAACTTGCGGACCCTCAATAAATCGGAAAAAATGCGGGTACTTCCCAAGAAATTGAGAGACTTGCAGTTCCATATTTCGAGTTCCCAATCGTTAGTCCGTTTCCGTTGCTTGGGTCTATGCCGACTGTTCCGGTCCGTATTGACATTGCTTGCTTCATGTACTTTTGTTTTTTACGGCTGGCTTGTAGGGCCTGCACCAACCCCCATTGTCTCGCCGGGGGACCATCATGCACAGCACTGTTTAGAGTCCCACGCTGGCATCAGGACGTTGATCAGCCGCTACTAACATGGAGAACAGACGCCGTTTTGAGCCGCACCTCCATGGTGAACACACGCTCCGGAGAAAGGAGTCCCCTCCTTCCCTGTCAGCATACGACCAAGGTCCCACCGAGAACAATACACAGTAACATGATGTCCTATTAACTTCACAATAATTGTGGGAACGTTACAGAACTTCTGATGAATGAAGGGAAAAGCTGAGAATTTTAGTCAATCTTCATAAACAAACTGCGGGAAGTTTACATCCTGAAAATATGGGGTACTTACTGGAACCTTTAAGAACCTCAAGGGGTACTATCAACAATCAATACGAAACTAACGATTTTAAATTGGCTCACTACTTGACTAGCCTATTGGTCCCAAGCAAACGATTAACGTACCTCATTCTAGTCGAAATTCTAGTACTACGCAATGTTTGTTTTGATTCGCTATGAAAGTTTGACAGACAAAATTAGGGGTTATTGGTTTTTCCTATGTTTCGAGGGGTGAATCAATTAGCTTGGGACCGAAGAGAGTACCAGAGCTGAGCCAAAAAGTTGAGCACGTTAATTCGGGACCTTCTAGTCTTAGAGTTACCTCTATGGTACTATGTTCTATTAGCTTCCGAAAAACTGCTGGAACTTTTAAGAAGTTCCTAGAATTTCAGAGATCTTCTTCGGTGTCAAGAGAACTTGAGAATAATATTGGAAACTTTTAAGACGTTTTAGGTACCTCAGAAAAGCTAGATTTAGAGATCTTTGGGGAATTTCAGATAGCACAAAGCAGTTTGAAGATCTATAAGCGTTTTGAAAAAATCAGGATTGTTCCATGATCAAAAAAAAAAACTAGAACTCTTAAGATGGTCCGGGAATTCCAGGGAAGTACAGTGACCTGCAGTGAAAAAACTTCTAGGAAAACTTCTCGACTTCCCTGGGCATAGAGTATAATCATAGAGGTAACTCTAAGACTAGTAGGTCCTGAAGAAACGTGCTCAACTTTTTGGCTCAGCTCTGATTCTACCTTCGGGCCCAAGCTAATCGATGCACCCCTCGAAACATAAGAAAATACACGAACCCCTCATTTTATCTGTCAAACTTTCACAGCGAATCAAAACAAACATAGTGTAGTACTAGAATTTCGCCTAGAATGGGGTACGTTAATCGATTTGCTTGGGACCAATAGGCTAGTCAAGTAGTGAGCCAATTTAAAATCGTTAGTTTCCACCGGTTGGTATGATTGTACTTGCTACATAACTATACTTATGCAAAAATGGTACAGGCATCGAATGCTCTCAATTGTTAACTGTGGAAGTGCATCTAGAACACTAAGTTGAGAGCACGCAATAAGTTAATATGCGATAAGCTATAAGCTTTAGTTCCGACTCCACAGCCCTGAAAAATAAATTAAAGAAGGTTGTTTGCGTTTTCAGAAGGAGCATAATCTTTAAATTAGCTGGCCCTTCGAACATGTTTGATGTGTTTTTACTTGGGAAATCAAAATCTCAGAACTCAGGTACTTTGATGGACTTACTTAAGATCAACATTTGAATTTCAAAGTAATTCAAATGAAAATTCCAAACAAGAATACTGAGTGGAAGCTCAAGAAATTTCTGGCAAAAGTCAAGTCAAGTCCAACATTACGAGGAAACTCAGTGACCACCTTGCTTACCTTTGTGAAGCCAAAAGCGTTAACAACTATCCATCATTCCAGGAAGCCGCGCCGGCAGCCACGACTCGGACGACAAAGCCCCGGAGGATAAGGAGAAACCGAACTTTGCCCTGTCCGGAAAGCTTACGGAAGAGGCGAACAAGGTAAACGGCGTAGTCATCAAGTACGCCGAACCGCCGGAATCCCGTAAACCCAAGCGCCGCTGGCGTCTGTACCCGTTCAAGGGTGAACAGGCCCTCCCGACGATGTACATCCACCGGCAGAGCTGCTACCTGATTGGCCGGGACCGGAAGGTGTGCGATCTGCCCATCGACCATCCGTCCTGTTCGAAGCAGCACGCCGCCCTGCAGTACCGATTGGTTCCGTACGAGCGGGAGGACGGAACCAGCGGCAAGCGGGTTCGGCCGTACATTATCGACCTGGAATCGGCGAACGGGACGTTCGTGAACAATAAAAAGGTCGACACCAAGAAGTACATTGAACTTCTGGAGAAGGACGTGCTCAAGTTCGGTTTCAGCTCGAGAGAATATGTACTGTTGCATGAAAATAGTAAGGAAGACGAAGAGGATGATGACGTCGTGGATGACAAGGGCGGTGCAGGAGCGAGCAATGGAGGCAGCAATGCTCGAGCCAAGCGGGAACCGAGCGAGTAAACAAGGTAATTTTGATACGGGTTCCAATCTGGAGGGAGGAGCTCACTGGTCGAAGGAAGTCCCCACTAATGTCACTTTCTTTCGTTCCCTTCAACAGATGAGATGGAATCGTACTCGAGTTTTGAATTTAACCCAATTGTACGGAACAACTACCGGATGGAAGCAAGAAGCATTCAATTTATTCACACAAACACACAGCAAGCAAAATCTACAGTTCTTATCAATGTTCGTTCACTGAATTGTCGCGCGGCCCAAAGGAAGGGAAAGGAATGGAAGTTTGCCGCAGCACAGCAGATGTATCTAGATCAAACAAACAACAATACATAAATAGTTTGTGTGTGTGTCTGTATTAGCTTACTCTAGAGAGGATTCAACAAATAAAGTATCTTAACCCCCCCTCACGAAAACACGACCACCGTTCCATGGCATGGGGAAATCGAACGTCGACCAACAACTCAGGCTCAGGAATCGAACCCGGCAGAGCAGGATGAATGTGTAGGTGTGTAAGTTGCTGTTAGCAAACAAAACAAAAGAAATCAATATCTGTGATATGCGAGCATTTAAATTAAACAAAAAAAAAACGAGCGGAAAATGTTAGACAGCAGCGACGAGGGAACAGGAATTCGAAGCTGCGCAGAAAGAACTATCTCAAGCTGTAGGTTGTAAGTTACAATCAGCTTTAAGACGAAGATCGTCGGAAATGGACTGGAAAGGAGCACCTCCTGAGGAAACGTTGGTGGAGAAGTCAAATCATGTTGGGTGTGGCTCAAGCAGAATTTCTTCTCATTGAAAGTTAAACCTAAGATGGTACCAAAAGTGCAACACAAAAATCACTTGTTTTCAAATGATTCATAGTAGTTATTCCGATATGGAACCAGGGGCGAGATAGTTGCCGAGAGCAGTAGTAAGTATGGCTACCCCGAATGCACTTGTTAGCACGAAGTACGGAATTTTCTGACACCAAGCTTGGCTACCAACATGAGTCCGTGGCAAAAGATCAGCTGTGGAGTTTAAAAAAATGTGTCACACCTTTCAGCGGAGTAGCCAGACGATATGGTGTAGTCACTTGTTCGAGGGTTCGCAACAGATTCTTACCCATTGTCGCCTTTTATATTACTGGAAGTCAGGTGACAGGTGGGAATACTGACCATTATACTATCGAGGATCTTATTGGAAGCATGTACGCATGGTAAATTATGTTTTTCCCTTCACTCAGTGGATGTTATTGTTAGCGGTGTTACGCTGGTCATGGTCATCACTTGAAAGCAGCGATGAGTCTGGCTCCTTTGCAACATCTAAAGCATTCCTTGGTAGTGGAAAAGAAGACATTTATCAAACGTTCTAAAAATGGAAGACACAGCTGTCAACGGTCGGATTCATGAACATCTTACAGCGGATTATGACAAACACAAAGATAACGAGAAGCCTGTGAAGCAGTTCGTCAATGTTATGCCATAAAAGTTTTCAGGAAAGCCGAAAACTGTTCGATCTATTGATCTCATCGTACATTAAAATAAACCTGTTCCACATTTCAACCGACAGTTCTCAGACGCAGCAATGGAAAAATCAAATAGCAAAACATCGGTGCAAGAATCGAACAATAACCAACAAGCCCTGCAACTCTTAGCTAACAAGCTACTCACTTGCTTTGGATATGTAGCCAGCCCGGGCAAGCCGTCTCTAAAAATGCGAGGCCTAAGTGCCACTCCACGAGGGAATTTTCCCGGAAGAGACTCCTTAGGGCGCGTCCAATAAATATCCTAGTCAGGATTTACGCATCGAACTAAACGCCAAAACGGGAAAACCCTATTAGCTGCATAGATTCACGAACACGATAGTCACTCAGAGAATCAGTAGAAGGATCAGACCGACTCGCGCGCTGTCTCTACGATCTTCGGAAGTGACCGTGTGCTTAGGACATCAAAACGTTGCTGGATAAGGAACTACAACTCGCTGCGTGGCGCTCGTCGGAACTATACAGGCTCGCAAAGGTGAAGAAAGGCGTTGCTTAGGTTAATCGGCAAAAAAGCGCAGCTACAAAGCAAGACCATGTTGGAGGCGAGCGGTTCGATTCTCGGTACGGTCCAGAATTTTTTCGAGTGAAGAATTTGTTGGTTTCCGTTCCAGTTAGGAAGTAATAATCAAAGAAGAAGAAAATTGTCCATCTAGGTAAGCGGATCAAAGAAGTGTCACGCAGGATTTATTTAGCACACCGCATTAGGCCTGTTATGAAAGGCGAGAAGAAGCAGCGTCGATTTCATTGTCAATCTGCGTCGAGAGCAGCCTTCTTCGATCTTCCCGAAGGAAATCGATAATATAGCTATCAGAAGCGAGATATGGAAGGATCTTTACCTGGTTTCAGCAGTGGAGCAAGCGTCATTAGAATGAAACTATCTCATCGTATTCCTTCTTAAATCATCGTGGGAAGCGAAACCACTTTGGTAACATATCGGACCAAGGTGTAACTTTAGTGTAGCGGGCGAAAATTCTACCAGGAACTACGTCGTTCCGATGTGGTAGTAACAGCAGCAAATCGTGATAATAATTCCAAATCAACACAGCAGCAGCAATGACAAGCAGAACAAGAGTAACAGCGTAAATAACCAGCATTTGGACGCAGAAAACGATAAGCAGTGATCGGCATAAACAGTGCAAGAGATTGAAACCGACAGACATTTTGATCGCCAGCGATTCGGCTTTCAGAGATAGCGTGCAATTAGATCACCGCATTACGATGTTTCCGGGTTGAAGCTGGCCTCGATTGAGCATGTGGTAAAGGAGTTGTTTCCCCGGTAGAAACTCCCATAGGGCGAGTCCAGTTGAAATCATGATGATAACAGGAGATCGATCCAGCTTGTCTACCTCCTAAATTTAAACAAATTTTCAACTCAGCATAACCTTTCACACTACCAACATTTTACTTCAAAGCAGGGTTAGAAATCTTCCGAACTTAAACGAAGTGACCTCTCGCGCCAAGCTGTCATCACAAGCAGTTTCAAATCAATTTTCGACCACGCGGAAGACATCGAACATGACTATAGAACGGATCAATTCCAAGGTATGGATAGAAGATGCTGATCGAGAATAGCGAGTACAACAGAAGAATAACATTCGGCACCGTGAAGCGAACAGCACTGTGCCTTAACAAATAAACACATTGCAAAGAATGGATGAAACCTGACCAGGTCTGATTCAGACACGATGTTGTCTCTTTTCAACACTTAAACCAAGCGATGGAAGCTCCTTGATCCTTCTGAAAGAACGTTCAGTGAGGAGCCAACTCCAATGCAAACGAGACAAACAGAAAGCGAGGTCGGTCTATGGACTTGGAAATCGATCGGAAGAGAAGGGTGCGAAACAATTGAACGTGGAAATGCGATGTTGATGAAGATGCATTCGAAACAGTATCAGCTTCCAAAATTGCGATAAATCAGGATGAATCGTAGCTGAAAACGCAAGAAGAGTAGCTGGATTTAACAACGTCAGGATTTAGCAGATCGTAAGGAGAATTTGTACATGAAAAACAACTATCATCGAAAACATGAAGCTTGTTGAACTGCAGAACAGAAATATTCTTCGATCAATGCTGCAAGAGGAACTAGGATACCAAAAGGACCAAGATGTCGTTTGAAAAAAAAAAACTTTATTCAGATGGAAACACCATCGATTCTTCAGGAGGCACCAGAAGCTCATTCTACAGTTACATTCAGGAAGCATAAACTGGAACCGTAATTATTAAGAACGACTAACCTGTATATAGCAGATAACACAGAGTCACAAACTGTCAAACATGCGGTGTAACGACAACGGAATTAAAAGACTTAAACACCAGTGATAAATCGAATATCAAGAATAATGAAACGTCGTCTATTCCAGCAATCTTAACAAAACTTCGATGAGCTACGATTGAAAATCGTGAGCACTCGAAACGAAGAACACCTACTTACAGTTCCTTCTGAATTTGATGAATCAGCATGATCAACTTAATGAAAAATAAAAATAAACGGCCCATCGAGGATCGCAATCAGCTCTAACGGCAACCAAAGGATCATAACTTAGCATAAACATTCCAGGAAGCGAGAAAAATTCATTAATTTCACCGTCATTTCTGTTAGACTACTAGAAGCACAAAATGCAACGAAACCCGCTCAACCAACTACTGACGAAAGCGATACTTCAAAGGCAACCTAAGCAAGCCGTTATCTACAGCCCTACGGTTGCCTTAAGCGAAGCAAAAAAGGACAAAGCAACCGTGAATCAGTCGCATCAGGACATTTTACCCGAAAAGTGTTCAGTTGAAGGGATCATCGTAACCAACTCGTCTAGATCCGAGTGTTATCTATCGGAAGCAGAATTTACACCGTGTACCTGAACATGACAAAAACCGCGGGCGAGCAGAATCCAAAACCGCGAGGGCATTTTGCGTTGGCACCAGCACCCCAAAGTTACTTCCGATCATATTTCCTACCTCTGTGTGAGTAGTTATCATACATTACAATGAAATCGTTACATTTCTGTTCTAGTGTTTCTTCGTTACGTCCCGTGACCTCACCTGTGTGTCAGCCTTTGTTAGCAAGTGTTACTCTAACTAGTATCTCACCTGTTTCATGCAATATTTCTATGCTTCGAAAGTCGGTGCACAGGACAGGGATTGAGGTAAAGGGTGATACCATCTGATGAAAAATAGAAAACAATGCCACATGATGACAAGATCTTGATGACGTCCCTTTGAAGTGGTAGATTCGCCGTCCTGAACTGGAGTTGAATCAATGGCTACCCATCCTTGCCAAACTTCATTCATTCGATGAGCATGTTTCAAGCTGCAATTTGTTTAATTCAGGATTTTTTTTCTGGATGAAGATCGATCGACTCAGACTCCTCGATCCAACCAAAATACAATAATTGTTATTTTGAAAAAAAAATCCGGATATAGTAAAAAATCTCTATCATAGGAACCATAAGTTCAATGATCTTGAAATTTTGTGATTTTTCCCAACTTTTAAAGTTGAATCTTCGGGTAAAGTTTCAGAATTTGAGGTGCATGTTATGGCTGCTAAAAGAAAAGTCGCATTCTCGCCCTTGTTCTTCTTCTTCTTCTTCTTTCTGTTTGAGCTGTCCTCTGACAGCTCAGTGTTGGACTATATGCCCTCGCCCTTGTTAGACCAAAGATTGTTATTGCTATAAAACGATAATTTTTATTAGATTCTCATTCTACTTGCACGAATGGCAAGATACGTACTCCATTTTGCCATTCCATGGGGTCTGGATGCCAGTTGGTCATTATGGCCGCTCGGGACCGGCTACAATCCGGGTGAATGGAAAATGGCTAATCTGAAATTACTCTAAAAATTAACACCAAAGTTGACCATTGAACTATGACTAGACCGATATGGTACT